CTCATTAAGTGAATACTACCATGAAATACCAAGGGGTGGACCATGCCAGATGACAAAACCAGCCACAGTTCCTGTCCCAGGTGTCCTCCAAGCCAAGAAGGAGAATCTAGAAAATTAATCCCCCAAATCAACCCCTGCTTTCTCCTGGGATGAGCACTGCAGAGAAGGACCACACCTTCTCCAGGTAACCAGTTCTCTTCTAATTCTTCAAGGGGACTTTGGCCTTCAGGAGAGATCCTTCAGAGGCAGGCGACAGTGATGGTGGTAGATTCACAACTGTTTCACATGTGGGACAACTGGAAAGTGGATGCATCATAGCTATGGAGGAGAAGCCAGTGGAATGCCAGCTCACTATGGTCCAACACTGAAGGGGCACTACTCTTGGGAGAGCATCACTGGGCCTGGTCAGTGTTCTGGGATGGCATTATTCAGGGCAGGACCAGAAGGACCAGCAGGGAGTAGTTTGGGGAAGGGGTAGAGGTGGCTTTTGGACTCTAACTTCTGGGTCATTACCTCAGGACCCAACTGTCTGCACATGGATGACAGGTCTCATCTTGCTTCTGTCTGAATCAGCCACATCGTGCCCATGTTTATGATGCGCTCCAATGAGGACCGTCATGTTTTTCTATTGTTCACCTTGTATTCTTGAAAGCCTTCAACTCTTCCTGCTTTATGTGTCTCCCATCTGGAGTTTCTGGAATGTCCTGGCTCCTCTGGGATTATGTGGGACATGGTAGTGGACAAAACCATGAACTTCAGAGCAAGACAAACGTGATCTACAATTGCAGCCCCAGCACTCATGAGCTATAGGGCATCTTGCCAGAGGCTCCTCTGAATCTATTTCTTCATCCACAAAATGAGGTACTGACTCACTGTCAGGATTTCTATGAGGCATCGCGTGAGATCATGTGTGCATATAAACAGGCTCGGAGGAAATGTTTTCACTTTTCTGGGAGAGAAATGGACCATTTTGATCTAATTCTTTTAGTTTAGAGCCAAACGCTTGGAACCAAGCAGCACCAACCTGTGGAAGACCAAAGCTGGGCTCGTTTTGTCTCCTGTGCTTACTCTGAAAATGCTTTAGGTGTTTGCATCAAGTCTAAGAGGAAAGGCAAGGCCCCTGCTCAGGAGGAGTGGGTCCTACAGATAGGGTCAGAGCTGAAGAATAGGTCAGAGAAAAGAAGAAATATATAGGTCAGAGCTGAAGAAAAGGGCAGAGCTGACTCTACAGGGATGACTTAGAACATCTGCTACCCTTTAATGACTAGAGTGCTGGAGCTGCACATGCCAGGGCAGCTTATGGTGATATCGCTTCCTAACTCTGTCCAGTGACAGTGACGTCATATCAGTAGCTGAAAATCAGCCACAGAGGGAATATTTACACCATGGAAATTGGCAAACACTACAGATCAAGACTCTCCACTCCTAGAAAGCTGGTTAGTAATCCTATTCCAGCAGACCACTGCCCTCAACAGCAGATAAGGGAAGGCCCAAGTCCATGAACCACCTTCAAAATCTTTGTGTTCCCTAGGGAAAGGAACCAGTAGCTCAGATAAGCACCAAAGCCTGAGAAGCTTCTTCTGCCTTGAGCTGACCTCCGGGAAGAAGTTGCCTAGAGAAGTTTGCAACCAAGGATCAGCTTCCATCCCTCTTGTCCCTGCCTTAAAAGAGTAGAAGGTCCCTGGCTGGATGGTCACTTAGTCTTCATCTACCAGCTCACCCACCGAGAGGCCTCACAGCCGCTCCTTTGGCTGTAGCCAGGAAGGATGCTGGACTCACGATGGCTGGAGATGAGCAGTGTCTGTGAAGCCAGGCACTGGGGCTGGCACCTCTTAACAATTTACTCTTCCCTTATAGGGGCTCCAGAAGGCCGAGGCACGGTGTTGAAGTTTGATTAGTAATAAGAACATAGCAGCTTCACCTCTAACATTTAGCACTCTTCCCCAGATTGAATTACTGATCTCTATCTGAGGGACCCATGCTAGCTTGCTGCCTGGGAACATTACACTCTCTAAAAGCTGTCAATCTCTGTCACTATCTTTGCACAATGGAGCCCATAGCTATTTTTAAAGGACTGTGTCACCTTTCAAGAGAAATTGTGTCTGCACAGAAGATTGATTTTTTGTGGTTGTCTCATACACAGATTTGGTGGTCTTTCAACTTCCAAGGTGAAGTTAGGTGTTCAGTAAGTTACCAGCCCACATTGTTTTGATTTTTATTTTAGGGAGAATATGAAGGAATTGAGAAAGATAAGATAAATGCTAAATAACCAAGTTCCCATGGAGAGCCACAGTGTGCATAAGAAAGGAAAGAATGGGACATCAAGGACATCTATTCTGCAACTATGGAGTGTCAAGCATTTGACCAAAAATAATTGCAATTTTGCTTAGCCTTTTCCAGAGTTCTGTAAGATGAGGGTTGCTAACCACATTTACAGTTGATTTTGAGTAGCACGGTAGACTCTGGAATTAAACTCCCTGGCTTTATTATCCCAGCTTCACTTACTGGCCTCTTCCTAGCAGTGACTTTGTGCCTCAGTTTCCTCATCTTCAAAATGGTAACATTAGCATTGCTTACCTCATCACAAAGTCACTGTAAGAATCAAATAAGTTAATCCAATTAAATATTTAGATAAGTGCTTTGAATTAGCAAGTGGCCCATTAAGTATTAGTTTTTGGCTTGCATGTATGATTCCAAGGGTCAGGTCTAGTAACTACAACTTCTTAGGTGTTTTACTAACACATTGCTCTTACTGATCCATATAAATGTCACATAGGAATTATCTTCTTTTCAGAGGGAGAAAACTGCCCTTGCTGTGAAATCAAAGGATTTCGTTGTGGTGGCGATGGGCAGGTTACCCTGAGATCCCTCATGTCAAGGGTTTGATGCAGCAATCTGGAGTGTGGAAAGTTCTTAGCACAACACAGGATAACTATTTCATAGTCATTATTAGAAACACATATTGTCTTCTCAAGATGAAACGGAAACTTGGAAAGTTTTGAATGAATGAATGGGCATGGGGTAGGTTGAAGCAGTGGAGCGAAGCTAGACAGAACCTTTGGAGTATTTGTCAAAGGCAGTAGAAGACAGTGAAAGCCATGGATAGATTGCTAGACTGAATGCCATCATGCTCTTTTTGAAAGAAGTGCAACTCCAAGTTGAAAGGGTGCACTGTGAGTGTGGCTCACACAGGGTGGGCACTTGCTCAAGCAGATGCCTTGGTCTTGACAAAGAGTTCAGTGGAGGACTGTGCACTTACACTTTAAGTTAAAACCAAATGTATGTCACATATGGATGCATTGGCCTTTATGAGTCCTACTACTTTTTTTTTCTTTGGTACCGGGGATCAAATTAGGGACCTTGCACTTGTGAGGCAGGTGCTGGAACCACTGAGCTAAATCCCTGGCCCAGTACTACTACTTTTATGATTAGCTGTCCAACTACTAATCCTGTGAGCCTGCACAAGGGACTTTACAGTTCACCTGCAAACAGATTCCATCTTCAGAGGCTGTCCTGCAACTTCCATTAGCATCCTACATAGTTTCTTTAAAAAGGAGAGAATATGCAAGGAAGAAGAGGGCCAAAATCATCTATAAAGCTCCTGACTCAAATACTAGGAGTCCAAAGATGATCCAGAGGCAGGGTGTGGGATGCCCCTCCTTTGAGGATAAGGAGGAGACAGATACATCAGCATAATTATAGCATACCTGAGACAGGTGCTGCTAAAGTTTATGGAAACATAAAGGAAGGAATGGTTAATTCTGCTCAGAGTCACTAGAGCAAGAGTTCATATTAGGAGATTTGAAACAGATTGTAAAGTGTGCTGAGGTTCATTAGATGGAAATTCATCTTAGCAAGGGAAGAGAAAGAATAAACACTGGGAGTTTAAAGAGTGCAATCAATAGGCAGAATGTCAGTAGGTTAAGGATAGTTCAGGCTATTGGTTTGGAGGCCACTGGAGAAGACCAGCGATAGAGATGAGAAGGTGGTAAAAGGAGATCTTGTGAGGTCCTACACCTTTAATTGCAAGTTTCTACATCCCAGAGGAGGGAGCCCCTGGCAAATCGAAGCACCCTAGCACTGCGTGAGCTTTGAACTTTAGAGAACAGATCCAGGTATGTGGAGAATTATTTGAGGAACAGATCTCAAGGAGGACAAACCAGTGACACAGAGAAGAGGGACAAGGGATGGAACTGTAGATGTGGCTCCTGGATGACAACAGTAGGAGGCTGATGGGTTACTGCTTGGCCACAATCTCTGGCTCTTGGTGACTGCCTAGAGGGAGGTGCACAGGTGCCCGGTGCCAGGCTGAGTGGGTGGCAATGCCATGCACTGGAATCTGGACCTTGAGAGGAAAAGCTGGGTTCAGAGAAGGATTAGTGTTTGCTTTTGAATCTTTTGGGGACTTGAAGCCAGGCACACAGATCAAACATGTCACACAGAGTCCCAAATGGAGGATACTGTTTCCAAAAAATATATTATTTAGAAAACTTGCTGTGTTCCACATTAAACAGGTCTAAGGGATCATGTTTGAGAATCTCCATGTATAATGTAGTCATTTTGCAGTGATTACCTACAAAGAAAATCCTTAACCAGGTGTCGCACACTTGTAGTATCTTCCTTTGTTGATGCCTTGAGAGTCCAAAACTTTGCATATGTAGAATGAAAGAGATAACCCTATAAAATCATCTGGGTGTACACTCTTTCAAAGATAAACATAGACACTTTAAAAGTTTAATGAGTTGATGTGAGCATTCAGTGATTTAACACCAGACCACAAGCGATTCTGCTTTCCACTGATGCGACGTGGGGGAAAATATTTACAAGTTGTTTGCAGAGGTGAGACAAAGAAGATATTTGATTGGTGAAGAAGGAAAGTTCCTAGTTAGAGGTTAGCCAATGCTTTCTGATTGGTCACATCTCTAGTTAGAGTTTAATGGCCTGAGGTTAATTGTTTCTGACTGGTTACGCTTTAATTTCATTCTCCTGTTTACATTAAGTTGGATTTGGCTTTGCTTTTGTATGAACCCAAGGCACTGGAGCTGTTCTAAAGGCTTCCCATGAATCATCTTAACACACTGGTGAGCTCAATGTAAGTGTCCTTTTCTCTGGAGAGTCTGCTCTATTCTTTTCCCATCCCCCGATTAGATAACATTCCCTATTCTATCTTCACAGCTATACAAATTCTTTGTAGTATTTTCATCAGCTGCATTTTCACATTTCTGTGTGTGTTTTTTTGTTTAATGGCTGGGTTTCCTACTAGCAAATGGAGTCCTTGAATACAGGGATAGATGTGGCCAAAGTTCTGGACTGCCTGGGACAGAGATGAGCTCAGTAAGGATGAGTTAAAGACATGAATGCTTGCTGGGTGACAGCTGCTTTACACTCAGTGACTGGGAGCCCTAGTTTTCCTGTTAGAACTACTATAGGCTCTGCAATTCTCCTGCAGATGTTGTTTGTTTGGGGTCTCTATGTCCTGGTCTTAGCTGGGCTCATTCACATGTCTGTGGATAGGCTGGAAGCTGGCTGATCTAGGCTGGATTGATTGGGACCAAAAGGTTTTTATTTCCTCATCTTCCAAATGATGCTGTAATACCCAGAGGACAATTATCTCAGTAGGGAGAAGTTTCCTATAACCATGAAACTTTTAACAAGGTACGTGTTCTTTCAATTATTTAACATATACCATATCCGACTAGTGGCACTACAGCGATGCTTTTCCAAACTGTGTGTGGACTGAGACTAAGAACTCATTGGAATGAGACACTCTGACTTGTTTGGATTTAACGGCTCTTTTGTCAAGGAAACCCTGATCTACTCTGTCAATGCTTTAATTGTGTCTATTTTGGCAAACAAATGTTTAATTTTGAGACTGTCTCTTTATTGTTGTTTCTCTATAAAAACCATATAAGTTTCTGTTGTACTTTCCTTCAGGAAAATGAATGTTTGCTTTATTGTTTCTAAGAACACCCCCGGTATATCAGCTGTCATTTTGGGGTAGCAAAGATTCCCTGAGCCTAGGAATAGTGTCAAGGTGTTCAAACTTCAGAGAAGGAAAATATGCAAAGTGCGTTCAACTGGGAGAGATTCAGCCTTTATAAAAAATTACTGTGGGGCAGAAACTCATGGTACTGAATATCTTTTGGAAATTTAGTAAGAGTACATGTAGAGTTTGGCCCTAACAGATAGAGAGTAGATCATCTATGTTCAAATTCCAAGATGACTCCTTACTTGCTTTTGTAAAGTTGAACAAATCTCATAACCTTTGTAAGTCTCAGTTTCACCTGCAGTAAAAGTGCATTATTATTACATACAGTGCATTATATACTACATATATTGCCACTACTATAAAAAGCCCATGAGTAGGGATTGTCACATACGCTGGAGTCTGCCTGTCCTTTATGGTGAGATTATACCTTTGCCTGCCCCAAAGTCAGAGATAGTTATGTGACTTGCCTTGATCCAAGAAATTAGAGTGGTGAGGAGTGTTGCTTCCTTCTGGAAGCCATTGAGAGTCAGGAGGCAAATTTTCATGCATTCCCTCCCTTCCCCATAATAACTAGTAACTTTAAATTGGAGCTTCTCCATCAGCCTAGGCCCTGGAGAGAGAAAGATGTGAAAACTGAGCCATGACAGAGAGCAGCATGAGCAAAAACTAGGCCCATGTTTGTTTAAGCTATTGATAGTTAGGAGATGTTTGTTAGTGAAGCATAGCCTGATCTATACAGACTGTCATAAAGATCTGAGATCATGTAGACAGAGTATATCGCAGCACCTTATGTGTGATAAGATCTCCATAAAGATTTGTTATTACTGTCATCACTCATATAAAATGCTAAAAAACTCAAGAACTTTTCTCTGTCTCTAGCAAAAAATAATCTCCCCCTAGATAATTATAGTCATTTCTTTTCCCCTGTGCTTTGATTCTCCCCAAAAGCATTAAGATCGGCCATGTAGTGTTCAGATCTAACACACTCTGAAGGAAATTTCTCCTCCACCTGAGACAGTTCTCTTTCTGTCAGTCCTATGGATGCTTGACGATGATGAGCACCCAGTTCCTTGACGATGCTGGCTCTCCAAGCCTGGCTGCTCAAATGATTCCCTGGGTATTGATCAGTCGGCTTTGTCTCAGGGCAGCAGTCAGTTGAAACTACTGAGGAGGGAACTGCCTTCTTTGCCTTGGGAGACCTCAGCCACCACCTGCCAGGCCGGGGAGGCAATAAAACTGAGCAGACACAGATGCAGTCTGCCTGTCTGCGACTGGAACAGGTCCAGTGGGGTCTAGCTTTGAAGTTGCACCCAGCCTCCAGAAGTCTCATTTTATCTCCAACGTGCTGATACTAAAGGAGGTAAGGACTGATACTTCTGCATATGAGAACATCTGAGATGGAGAGGAACTGGTATCTTTGGGGCCGGTTAAATTGTCAACATACGGGACAGAGGAGGAGGCCTGTCATCTGGGAAGCACCAACTCTGTATGTTGGGTACATTTACCTGATGGGGGGACATGACCAGTAGCCACCACAACTGTGTATGTGAACTCATTGTCTCCCCACGCTGACTCTGCTCAAGGTGTGTTAACCGTCACAACTGTTTTAGAAATAAGAAAAGTAGGGGGTTCAGCCCGAGGCTGCCTGGCTGAGTGATCAACAGGGCTAGGAGTCCAGTTTAGGTTTGCCAACCTCAGAAGCATGTCAAACTTTGGCTTTCCCCAGATTTCTGGGCTGTAATGGTTATCTGGAAAGCTATAGAATTAGAAAGAATCATCCACCCCCTCCATGTGAGAGATTCTTATTCAGGAGATCTATAGCATGGCTAGAAATTCAAGTTTTTAGCTGGTTGCCATGGTCATTCTTATAGCCTAGGAGTTTAGGAACTACTGACCAACAGGGCTGGCTTCATGAGTGAGCGTTCTATGGAGAATTGTATGGGTGGCTTAACACTCTGCTGTCACTGTCTTGCAATTCTTGATGATTTTACCTCCACATTTTTTTCATAAGTAGAGTCTGATGAGACCATGAAGCACATGAAAGAGCAAAGGAGATACACAAAGTGTGTGTGTGGGTGTGTGTGTGTGTGTGTGTGCGTGCATATCACTGATCTTTGCTGCCTTGTTTATATAGAGCATTTTCAGTGTCCCATGAACGGGGATGTCTAGTGTGCACACAGCACCAGGAATCCAGAGAAACTCAAAGCAAATAGATAAGTGTGTTAAGCCCACAGCTGCGTAAGCAGAGCTGCGGCAGTGCTGAGAGCAGTGTGTTGGTTTCTATTCAGACCAGGACTTGCTATGGGCATAGAAGGAAGACAGCAGTGTTCTAAGGGGCAGGAGTGACCAAGGAGCAGCACCACATGTGTGTAGCAAGAAGGGGTATGGAGCAGCAGAGTTAGTGTGGTAGAGCTTTTCCATTATCCTGGGGAAAATGTCATGCCTATCCCTGAAAGAGCTATGGCAGACGAATTGTATAATTTTGTCAGAATCTCATGAGTTAAGTGCTCTCTCATATGTGCATTTAAAAGTGATTTTTTAACAACATGAGGGTGAATAGCCAAACTGACGCTATGAGTCAAAATATTAAATTGTCCTTATTTAGATTGAAATAACACATTTAAAAAAATGCCATGATCATTGGAGAAAGAGTCCCTAGACAATTAAAAAAAAGGCTGTATATTTTAGTACCTGCTTTTTGGAATAAGGGCTCAACATTCTCATTTTCCACTGGGTGTAACAAACTACAGAGCCCACCTTGCTGGTCAAAGAATTCAGATGATTACTTTACGTTTCCGTTTCTTTTTTGAAAGAAGAGAATGTGCCTGGAACACAGTAAGTGTTCGGCTGAGCTGCTTTTTGGGATTGCAGTCAGGACCTCTATAGATCAGGTAAGCGGCGAGGAGCAGAGGGCTCCTGAGCTGGTCGGCAGTAGCCCACTTCCGGGACAGCCAAATTTCACCGGATGCATTTCCACACCTGCTTTCTTGAATGCTAAGAGAAAGAAAAATGGACCCTAAAGGAGGTTTTGGGGACCTCATGCTCAGCTCTCTGTGGATGCCCAGCTTCCACAAAGGGAGAAGCAAAACATCACGGGAAAATTTCCCCCTGAAAGTAAATCAAAACAAGAGGCTACTTGGTCCCATGGGAGGAGCCCAGGCTCTGTGACCGGACCTTAGTGCCACGAGCCCAGGCCAGCCACTCAGCTCTGTGTGTCACCTGGAGAAGCCTGTTCTTCCTGAGCCTCGATTCTCCAACCCAGGTAAAGGGCTCAAGGATGTCTATCTTGGGAAAATTTCTGTTTGGACTCAAAAGGCTGTCCAAAGTGATGTCACTCACTGTCTGGCATAGTAGACAGTTTATCTTCTTCTCTCCTCCAGTGAAGTTTTTTCTCTTTTTTTATAGTTAACCAAGAGAAAGGGTGGAATGGAGTGACTACTTTTCACCTGCAAAAATCTGATATGGCACAAAACAAGAAAAGAAAGCAAAGAACAGAGGGAGGGAGAGAGGGATAGGGAAAGAAGGGAGATAGAAAGGCAGGAGGAAAAAGAAGGAAGGTAAATCTTTGTTTAAAAAAGAATCAAGCATTTGAATAAAAATCTTATCACTGATATTTAAGAACAGGAGAAACCTGACTTATGTCAGCGATGTCAGTTTTCCTCTCACCTAAATTTGAGACAGGGAGAGTATCACAGACTGTTTCATACAGATGAGGTACAGGCTAGCAGCATTTTCTATTTAGGGTTATCGAAAGAAAACCACCAGACTCTCAGAATTACTTTTTAGCTCCCTACCAATTGCCTCACCTGGTGTGGTTGCTCAGTGGCCCTGTGTGTGAAATGGGGGTGCCTATGCTACCCTTCTTGGAGAGGTGATACACAGACTGAACAACAATATGCCTTGCATGTTCAAAAGAACCAAGAGGTCTGAGCAACATCTTTCTGTTGTCAGCCCTTCCACCCCAATGCACAGGAAAGAGGCTGAAGAGGATATGGTTAACAAGGTCTGTGTGTGCACTGGGGCACACTGCCTCCCGCTCTGGGTCCTCAGACTGCATGCAGAAGATCCCATGGGGAACCACTCCCCTCTGCATCACAGCCTCC